TAGCCCTGCCCCTTCCTATACCCCTTCCCGCACCCGTCGAAGGCAATTTTTGGAAAAATTTAACGGAGCTGGCAATGTGTCAGATAACTGACTACAGAATCTGCCAACTCTAAAAGTTGTCATAGTATCGATCATAGCAGAGTCCTATCAAAACCTCCAAACCTCCGTCGAAGGGATGAGAGGGAGAGGGAGACAGAAAACCAAATTCAACTTTGTATTTCTTGAGGTAAGCTTTCAAACCGATATCTATAAGAATTTATACTGTTTGTCATCAGTCAATCACAAGCATTTTTAAGCAGAAGACAACAGCGATGTGAGAACATAACTTATGCACTGGTTATATAACATACACGTAAAAATTCTACACAAAAGTCATCCGAGAAGTTCCTTGGCTCGCTGGCTCTGGCTATCGTCCAGCAACTTTTCGATTTGTTTCATTTCAGCTAAAAAAAAACCAAATTGAATGCAGACTATGTTTATTCAGCTGTTAATCAGCAGACAAAAGTGAATGGGGAGGCATCAAAACGACTCGAAAAACTCTGCTCATATGAAACGTTCAAATCGCTGCTGTTTCGTCCAGTATAAACGTTGAATAAAAACTGTCACATTACGAAAATTGGTAAAAACGACATCGAGGTATTATGAAGAAGCCCAAGCCAACGCAAAAAAGAACCCGGATAATTCAAGACAGCGGTGGCCAACACAAGCTCAAAGATTAGATCAGACAACAGTCTTCATTTTCAAGATGTTTGTTTTTAGAAGTGCATCTAAATTTAGTGTTTTTATGAGCCATGTTTTGTTTTTGTTGATCTTTTTTGACTTCCAACGGTACATTACTGGTGACTCTAAAGTCGTACTTCGGGATTCTTTTCTCTTCAACGAGCAACTAACCATGAGGGAAAGATAATAGATTTCAACTGCAAATAGTAAAAATGCGTAGTGCCTACAAAAATGACAGTTCGGGACATAGCGTAACAGGTCAGCATGATAGGGGTCCAATGTGGATGGATAAGTAGCAAGAAGTCATAGCGCGACGTCG